TTATAGTTTGAGGGGTTCCCTTTACTATTTCCTGTAGGATAGGTCTTCTAGCAATTAATTCTCTTGGTTTTTGTTTATCTGAGACTGGTTTAATTTCTGCTTTATTTTTGAAACATAGCTTTGCTGGATCTACACTCTTGGTTTGCGAAACTTTTTTTTTTTTTAGCACTTTGAGTATGTTATCCTACTGCCTTTTGGCCTCTGATGAGAAATCAACCATCAGTCCCATATGTGATGAGTTGCTTTTCTCTCTCTACTTTCAAGATTCTCTCCTTGTCTTTTGAAAGTTTGATTATGACGTGTCTAGGTGTGGATCTCTTTGAATTTATCCTGTTTGGAATTAATTTAGCTTTATGGATGTGTAGATTAATGTTTTTCATTAAATTGGCAAAATTTTGGTCATTATTTTTTCCAATATTCTTCTCCTTTCTCTCTCTCTCTTCTGGGATTCCCATTATGCGTATGTTGGTATACTTGGTGGAAAAAGCTATGCTGTCTGCCTAGAGAGGGTACAAGATGGCATTTCGCAGCCAAGCAGCTTATTCCCCAACTGACTGCACTAAGAGGGCATGGCCTGGGCTGCCACATTTGCAGTGAGCAGCAGGCCTTTTGTAGGCCAGGCAGTCATGAGATTAAAGTTAAGGGCCCCCTCTTGATCATGGTATTTATGTCTTGAACGAGGTAGTTTTTGCTGGGAGATGATGGACCATTGAACTAATGGGCTTGCTTTGTTTTCCCTCTATAGGTTCAATGTCAACAACACCATTCTTCATCCAGAGATAGTGGAATGGTAAGTATGGCCTGTGGCTGTGATGCTGTTCATTGTGCTCAGCTCAGGAAGGTGAGAGATCCTGCCGTTCCTGCCTGCTCCATCTCACAGAGCCCACCAGACAAGCCCGGCCCTAGAACCTCTTCTCTCAGGCTCTTCTCTTTTCTGTTTTGTTTTGTTTTTCAGTTGGTTTGTTTTTTTGTAAGGGCATGAGTCACTTGAATGTCAATTAAATTTCTCTTATCTTGTCCTTTATTTTCAGTCTTTTAAAGCTCCTACTATAAATTAGCTAACCTTATGTAGCTCAGTTAAAGTAGATAGTGAAAAGAGTAAAAATAAATATCATACGTAATCCTGTTACCAGAAAGGTAAACATGTTTTCCTCAAGTCATGCATCTGTCTTCAGTAGTTGGTATCCTCTTATATATGTTCTCATGTTGCCTGCTTGCTTTCCTTGGTAATGCCGGCAGCCCTTACATGCAGCTTAGCCGATTTCTGGTCGGTCGCAGCAGGACTTTCTCAGGGGGGGAATCACTTCTTTGGACCCTGGAAGTGGCCCTCCAACTCTGATGTGTTACTGGTTTTCTTCTTAAGCACTCAAGTTGCTCTTTGATAGCACCAAAATGTTATCCGTTACATGGCTGCACTTATTCTGAATGCAGGAGAGATGAGACGAGGCCTTTACCACATAATCACGTAACTGGGAGGTGTGCGGTCTCCTCACGTCTGCTCCTAAAGCCCCATCTAGTTGGGAGAGCTCACTCACCTAGTCTTAAGCTTGGGAACACTATCCTGAAGGATGAATAGGGGTCAGGTGGTGAGGATGGGCGGAGTGTAGAGTTGGGGAGAGGGAGAGAATGATCCAGTCTGAGGGAGCACTTGTTCAGAGGCTGGAGACAAGAGAAAGGGTAATGGCCTTGTGTGGCCGGCATAGTGCACACACTGCAGAAGTGGCTCCTGAAGGCGGTTGGAAGGTTGGGCAGGCATCAGCCACGCTGTCAGCTTAGACTTCGTCTTGAGAGACATGGAAACTAAGGGAAATCTTTGAAAGATTTAAGCAAAGAATGGTAGGGTCAGGCTTGCATTCTAAAAAATCATTTGGCCTCAGCCTGGAGACTCAACTGTAGGGCGAGAGTGGGAACAGGTTGGCAGTGAGGAGTCTGTTGTGGGGTCTAGGTGGCGGTGGAGGGGTGGTGTGAGAGTTGAGAGGTAAAGCGTCAGTCAAAGGAATGCTCCTGAGAGGAACCTACTGTGAAAGCTGAGTGAAGGGTGGAGTTGGAGGTGACTCTAGGTTTTCGTCCTGAAGAGCTGGGTGGTGTGTCGTGGAGATGGGGATGGCCAGTGCTGTGTGGGATCAGGAGCTTGTTTGGGCTGTGCTGGGTTTGAGGCAGGAGCCAGTGGGAGACAGCCTGGGCCGGAGGTGAAGATCTGAGGGCTGTCAATAGGCATTGGTACTGACTCTTGGGGCAGCTGGAGAGCAGGCCAGCCAGCCTGCCTCTGTGCCCATCATGGCCACACACAGTGAGGGTAGGACCTATGTACTCCAAGTTCATGGCCATCACTTGGCAGAAGAATAAATCCTGAATACTCAAGGACAGGCCCACGTTCACTTACGCCCCACGTGCAGTGTTTCCTCCTGGCCACTTACAGTTAGGTGCTTTGCAGGGGATGGCGAAGTGGTGCGCTTCAGCATCTCCTAAAGGATAAGCCATTAGCTCGTCACTTTGGAACAAGCACGCTTTAATTCTGGTGACATTTCCAAGGCTCTGAAATGGATTCCGCGTTCATAATAATACTTCCCAACTTTATTAAAGCCAGCAGCAGAAAGGAGTTATTTGGCATTTGATGGCAGTAGGACTATTTTAGAAATGTCACGTTGTCCTTACTGCCTCAGGGGTGTATTTTAATAGTGTGTGTACCAGCATCTGTAGTGACTGAAGTCATTCTCGGTGAGAGCCATGGTAGTCGTGGTCATTGCCCTCCTTGAGTCACTGAAGGAAGGATTCTGGAGGGAATGAAAGGCAGATCCCTGATTTATAGGAGAGGGGGTCTTTCCATGACCTTAAATTATGACTCATTGATGCATCTTTGGGCTTCTGTGTCCTGAGTGCTTTTGCTACCATCTGTCTCTAGTCCCCATGGAGAAAAGCTGCCTGGAGTAATGGAAAAATTATCTACTCAGGCAAATCCAAATTCTAACCCCAACCCGCCCCCTCAGGAAGTCAAGGACAGGCCCACGTTCACTTAGCTTTTCTGAGCTCAGGTTTTTCATCTATAAAATGGAGGTGTACTAATACGTAACTCACAGTGTGGACCTGAAGATTCACCAAGTGTCTTAGACCATTCAGGCTGCCCTCACAATTTACTGCTGACTGGGCGGCTTATAAACAACAAATTTATTTCCCACAGTTCCGGAAGCTGAGAAGTCCAAGATCAAGGCTGGCGTCTGATGAGGAACCACTTCCTGGTTGATAGATGGCCATCTTCTTGCTATGTCCTCACGTGGCAGAAGGGGCAAGAAGCTCTCTGGGGTCTCTTTTATAAGGGCACTAATCTCATCCATGAGTGCTCTGCCCTCATGATGACCTGATCACCTCCCAGAGACCCCACCTCCAAATACCAACACATCAGAGATTAGATTTCAACATCTGAATTTTGGAAGAAGACAAGTACTCAGTCTATAGCACTTAGTCTCAGGGTCCGCTCCTGCAGAGTAGAAGTGGGCTCCCTTGATGGATGCCTGAAAAATTGAGTGAGAGCATAAGTGCTAACGCATCTGCATAATGGCTCTCACCTTTTGAGACTTCCCATATGCAAGGTATTGTGCTAAGTACTTGACACATGTCACCTTATTCAGAAGAGGTATTTTATTTGTTATAAGATAGGTGCTCCGATTATTCCCATGCTACAGATGAGGAAAGTGAGGCACAGGGAGGTGATTTGCCCAAGAAAAAGGCAGGAATTGTGTCCAGGCTGATGGTTCCAGGATCTCTGTACCGCCCCTTGCAACTCCAAGGAACACCCTGGCGGGCGGGGCAGCCTACCTGAGTGTGAGCCTTCCTTCCAGTTCACTTTGGGCCACTGGACTTGCAGGGTCGCTCAGACCCTGCAGCATGGGTCTGGTGTGAGGCCAGGGTATGGTAGGGGCTGGGGGCCAGGAGCTGTGTAGCTAAGCTCCACCAGCGCCACGCCTCCTGTCACCTGCCACCCGCATGCCACCGGGCTCCTGATCAGTAACTGGGCTGGGGATTTGGGCTGCCTCAGGGAGCGCGTCTGGAGCGCGTCTGGTGGGGGGCAGTGAGCAGCCTCGCCCAGCACTCTCCTGGCTTCCTTTCTCATTTTTGTTTAGGCATCATTCATTTCCATCCAGTGACCGTTTTATTGTTTTCCATTCTCTCAAGCAGTACCTTTTTGATTTCCTGTAAATTCCTCTATAATCATACTCTTCCCCACAAACATGAGATCATAACTGATAATTTCTCTTCTTGTGCTGGGTATTGCAGTTTGAATGTGGAGGTCAAAAGTTGAAACTTAATAAGAGGGGGCGCCTCACTTCCATAATTTAGGTTGTGGTTCTACTTTCCTGTTCTGCAGATGATTAAATTGATCTGAAGGTAGGGTAGGAAATAAAAGGAGATGCTTTTGTACTCTTTAGTAGCTCGGTGCTTTAGATTTCAGTTAAGTACCTCTGGAAGCATCACAGGAGAGCAAGCATGTCAGCAATTGCTGTGCGCCTTCTTGGGTTTTAAGTGAGACTGTGTGAAATTGAGTCATGCGCCAGTTTTAGAACTGTTAATTACACGGAGGGAAGGTGTCCTGCATGTATTAATCAGGCAGTGGGGTAACATTTCTATTTCGGCTCCCCTGCCTTTCTGTGTTCGGAGGTGCCGAGGTGTGGATGGTTCAGGGGCAGGAGCGCACTGATTTCCTTCGTCTTTGCAATGTCCCAAATTAGAAAAGGTACGTAGGTGATGACCTGGATTCTTGGTGTGTATGTGAAAAATATTCCAGGAGGGTTGCCGTCTTTGTCTCCCAACAAATAGATAGGCATTTAACTCTGAGTTAATGAGAAAGCCGATTGGAAAGTGGGATCCTCAGCAGAGTGAGCGCTTGACTTACAGTGTGCCAGGAGGCAGGAGGTGGGATGTGGGAGCATTGGCAGATCCTGGGCACCGAGTTGAAATTCCCGCACCTCCCCCACATGTGGCCCATGTCTGCCTGGCCCCGGTCAGGTCTCAGGCACAGTTGGCTCACAGCCATCGTTTCTTTATGTCTCTGGTCTCTCTGAGAAGACTTATTGATTGAGCCTTCTAAGGATACGTAATTCTAACCGGCTCTCTGCTGCTGTTCTGGGATTTTACCCTTTGCATCATGGGTGGAAGGAAGGGTCATGGGGGCCCTGTGGTATTGCATTCCTACCCAGCTCTCCCACAGAACCATCCCCCATACATTCATCTCTAGGAGAGATGGAATTCCTGTCCCTTCAAATGGGTTTTGTTCAACACTATGGCACTTTGATGCTCAGAGACTGATTTTAGAAATACTGCATCCTTTCCTGCTACTGTTTTCAGCAGTGGAACATTCAGATCTCAGTTAATTGATGTCTTCATCCTGTGTTTAATGTCCACAGGCAGTTTCGTGACCTGCGAATATTTAAGGGGAAAAAAATTGCACAAGCGAATCTTAGCCTCGTCCAGTTTTTGTCATTTTAGGCCTCCGACGGGGACTCTGAGCCTTTGTCCCTCCACCCCCACCCCCCTGCCTGGGGTGCTGCCTTTCTGCTTGAGCGGCCCCCTTGGTGCGGTGATGCTCACAGCATGGCCCGCAGCCAGGGACTCTATGGGAGTGCTCATGCCTCTCTCACGCACATCAGGCACCTCCCCTTGCTGGGGGGAGGGCCTGAACCACCTTCTGTCCAGAGTCCTTAAGTGACATCAGTGTTGTCCTTTCCTGACCCTTGGTCCTCTAATGCTTCATGGAGGAAGTGGCCTTTGTCCTCTCCTGGGGCTAGACCCTCACAGATCACATTTCTAACCACCACCCCACACATCCTTGGGCCAGGTAAGGCTGAGCTGAGTGTGACACGAAGCATCCCTCACTCCAGAGGCGGTCGGACCTGCAGAGGCAGGACCAGCTCGGAATCCTCTTCCCTTGCCTTTTCGTGCTCAGGGGTAATGGAAATGGCCTCGTCGGATTCAGGGCAGTGAATTCTTCCTGAAAATGGGGACAAACTGTACAGAGTGCTGAGAAGTCTTATTATTTGCTGCAGTAATCTTAAAAGTTTCTGGTGCTCGTGCCATGGCGATGAGTGGGCCAGGCTAGCATGCCTGGTGCCTGGGTGAGACTTCAGGCCCAGAGTACCCAATGGATATTTGAGTAAGCCGGCACAGGTAAGCTGGCACTCAACAAACATCTGTTTTCAGGGCCTGTTAAGCTGGGGTTAAATTGGGCCAGTCCAGTGCTCGGTGAGGCTGCTTTCTCCGGAGAACTGCTTTTATGGGATAATTTGCCCTCGTTCAATTTGATTTATTTTTAATATGACTAAAAAATAAATCCTGAGTAAATCAGCTAGAGGCCTAGTTTGTCATCTTCCCAAAAGTAAAATTGGAAAAGAAAGCAGCATCCTGGTCCTTGACCACTGAAAATACCGCTCGTCTCTAAAGGGAAAGGAGTGTGGTTGGGCTCCAGGCCTCTTTCTCCTCGGGCTGATTGTGCGCTTTTCCCGGGTTATCTCCTGATCGAGGGCACTCATGCTGCAGGGAGGAGGCCGAGTGGAGAGCCTGTGTGGTGGGCTCCTGGGGGTCAGATCCCGGGACCACCTCTTCCCACCTCTGTGGCTGGGGCAATGCAGTGGTGGTGGAGTTTGAACTGCTGAGGCCTGTGGAGGCTGCGCCCCTGTCCTGCCCAGGGCGTGGCAGGCTGAGCGGCCTCCCGCAGTCCTGGTGAACTCCCCCAGGGCGGGTGGAGGACACCTCCTTTTCTTTTTGAAATGAGGCCATTATCTCTCCTTGTTGGAAGCAGGATGTTTCCAGCTTTGGTGTGGTGCCCAGATATTGCTTCTATCCCAGTTACTGTGTGTCCCCTTCAGGCCAGGTGCTGTTCTGGCCCTGAGACCCTGTCCTCCCGGGCTATGTATGACCCGGGAGGAGACTTAAGTGAAAAAGAGATTACAAGTGTAATAGCTCAATGAGGATTCCTTTAGACTGCCCAGGGAACACAGAGAGGGGACTTAGCCAGGTGGCGGGGATGGTGGGAGCAAGTGCCAGGCAGAGGAGTCTCCACTGGGAGAGAGTGGGGTGGGCCCAGGGAGCGTTGGGAGCCACCTTAAAGATTTGACTTCATCCCAAGGACATCGAGAGGCCACTCACTGACGGTTCTGAGCAAGGAAAAGCAAGGTCAGATTTGCACTTCCTCAAGATCCCCTGCACTGTTAGGTAGCAGATAGACCTGGAGGCTCGGAAGCCACAAGAAGCAGGAGAGGTTGACCAGGCTGGAAGGACCAGGGTCTGGATGGAGAGAAGCAGGGTCTGAGAGAGGTTGTGGAGGTGGATGCATAGTCCTTGGTCATCAGTCGGATGTAGGGGCAGTGGATGGGCCAGAGGGAGGTATCTGGGATGATGCCCCGTTTGTTTTAAGGGTGATGGCAGAGCTGTGGTTTGGGAGGGGGGCATGCGGATAGGCGGGAGTTTCTGTCACGCTGAGCTGGAGGTGCCTGGGGGACCCGCAGGTGGAAGTGCAACTGAGAAGCCTGTGCCAGGGCCGGGGTTTGGGAGCGGAGGCTGAGGTGAGGCGGAGGGGCAGAGGCGGGGGCAGGGGGGAACTGTCAGGGAGGCAGAGAGGAAGCAGCAGGCAGTACCAGAGGAGGCAGGGCTCCCCGTGCCTCGTCCTCAGCAGGTCACCTGATGCCTCGCATCTGGCAGCTGGGGTCATCACCTCATGTTGGTGAGAGGGCAGGTGGCAGAGCGGTGGGGGCTGAAGGGAGAAGAAGAGAGGGGATGGGGGGAGAAGATAGGGAAGATGCTCTCCCTCCTCTCCCAAGGCAAGGACTGTCTTGGTTTCCTCTTCAGAAATGGGGCTGGGTAGTGGAGGATAAAGCTTGGCTAGAGGAGGAAGAGGAGGTGAGTGAGTGGTCATGGAGCTTCCGTTAATAGGGGCCAGATGGATGGAGGAGGTTGGGGCTGGGATCTGAACTCAGGTATATGTGTGTGTTGGTAGGACTGAACCTCATCCGGAAGAGGGCACCCCTCCCCTTGTAGGGGGAGAGAGAGGAGAGCATGAGGGGGAGGACAAGGCTTGAGAGTTTGGGGAAGAGGTGAGAGTGCTCTCACCTGGCTTCTGTTCTCTGAGTGGATGAGTTCATTCATCTGCTGAGAAGAGGAGGCGGGCACCAAAGTGGGGAAGGGAGCGATCTTAGGAAGGCGGAGAAAGTTGGGGATAGGCCTCCTGCATGCCTGCCTGCAACTCATGGGGCTGCTGACTAGGAGCTGTGCCATCACACAACTGCAGGATTTCTCCACAGCCCCATGGCCCACATATAGGCATGGGCTCTGGTTTGACCCTTGTGGGGGTCTAAAATATTGGCAAGAGTGGTGGCAGGAAGGACGGACCAGAGAGCTAAGCTGAACAGACAGGCAGAGGGCAGAGGCAAACAGCCTGGGCCTGTTCCCACCTGTGTTGTCACTCTGGTCTTCACTGCATTCGAGAAGAGATGCCAGGGCACACTTGCCAGTTCCTCGGACTGGTGCCAAGCAGGGCTGCAGTGGGGAGCGAAGCATCAGGGCCTGCTAGATCATCCTGCAAGTGGTTTTGGACCTCAGGAGCCTTGATTTGCTTATCTGTGTCCTGCCCGTGGCTCTGGACTCTCGCTCTGAAGACAGAGCACAGGAATAAGCTTTCTGTTCCCCAGGTGGGGCTGCTTCCAGCACCTGATGCAGAATCTGAGGCACCTTTAGGATGATAAAGAGCAAACTGTTAGGCTTCAGGGTCTGCCCCTCTGGAGAGAAAACATGTTCATTTGAGAAAAGTCTCCATGGGATTAGGGGTTTGCTTTTTCCACATTCCCCAGAAGATTTTACAGTCTTAAGAAGGCATCACTGTGCTGCAAGATGCCTTCCTCACTTCCTGGTAACAAATGGCTGGCTGTCCCAGCTGGATGGCACCATGGAGACGGTGTGAGTCAGTGGCTCAGGCTGCTTCTGTGAAGTCCCGAGGGTTTGCTGCCTCTGATGGAGGTGGGAGCGCCCTCCCTGACAGCAGCCTGCCCCCGCTGGGGCCGGCTCAGGGCGATCAGGCTTCAGGGTGGACAGTGGCCAGATGAGAGGCGCTCTGGGCAGAGGGGCAGGTGCTGCTCTGCCATCAGACACCCTGGCTCTGCTGATCTGGAGTGTGCTTAAGTGTGTTCCCTTTGAGAGAGGGAGAGGCGACCATGCGGGAGCTTTGGCGAAGATGGGTCACCTTTTATAAGGGTACAGAGCTGGCCATGAAGGTCGGCTGAGGACTCTGTGCTCTTAATGACTAGGCATGGCTGTGACCCGGAGTTGCTTATTTGAAATGGTGTAGGCAGAAGATGAATATTTATTTAGCCTCTCTATGTGAGTCTTACTTGGGGATGAGATTGATTGCAGGGACTAGAAGCCCCACCAAATTTGGGCACGAGTTTATTGTGAGGAGCCCAGGAGCCCAGTCGCAGGAAGTGCAGTGGATCTCCAAAGGGCAGCAGGGCCTCCTGGTCGCACCTCTTAAACCCCTCTCTTCCCGCTGTTTCTCTCTTGTCTGCTCCTTATCTCCTGCTTCTCTCTGCAGACCGGCTATTTCCACATTTATTCCTGCACTCAGGCTGGAACTGGCTACAGCACGTAGCACCCTGTTCCCACCCCCACCCCTGTCTCAGGCAGGGGTTTGAGTGACATGGTATTCCCGGGCTGCCTGGTGGGCAGGTGGGTGAGGGTGGAGAGGAAATGGGAGACCTCTTCAGCTAACTGGACAGAACCCTGGGAGGCAGCATACTTAAGATTTAGGTCCAACGGCCTCATCGGGTAGATTTTATCCCCATTTTACGGGTGAGGAAACCGAGTCTCAGTGAGGCAAGGTGTATCTAGCTGCAGAACCTGGGCTTCTTCCACCACCCACAGTGGCTTCCAGACGTAACTGGAGCTAGCCTGCATGCCTGAGGTCAGGGCGGGCAGTGCTTAGTGCAGCTTTCACTCCTGGGGGCTTCGTAGCCGACTCTACCACCGCTCCCTTGCCCAGGCAGCCCATCAGCAGCCTGGCTGGGCATGACCTGGCCCTGTGCTCCTTCTTAAGCTATGCAGGTGTGGCAGCCTCGGGGTCTCCTTAGAGGGGTCCAGCCGGCTCCTGCTAGAAGTCACTGACTTGCCGCTTTATTTTTCTACTCCCTGAAGCCGGGTCTTTAAGACGGACATGGAGCTGGAAGTTTTGCGCTACACCAATAAGATCTCCAGTGAGGCCCATCGGGAGGTAAGCAGGGCCCCGGCTGGTTCTGGCTGGGTTGGTCGAGCAGCGTTGCTCTGTGTGGGACAACAGGGCAGCATCGAGACTGACGCGCTCAGGGCACCCCCAGGCTCCAGCACCGTTCCAGCGAGCAGCACGTGTCGCGTCAGTCAGGCCAGACATGCGGTAATGGCTCTTTTCTGTTCTCCTGTGGGGACAGGGCAAGGACACAGAGGTTCTTAAGGCACCCACCCTTTGGGGAGTTTCCCAGCCAGAAGTCCCCACTTCCAGGAAGGTGGGGCTTTCCTTCCTGGCATTCTGGCAGTCTGAGCTCCTTTTAAAGAATCTTTTGTTCTTACCCATGATTCAAGCACATTTATTACTCCTTTTTTCTGAAAATTTATTCACACAGTTATTTCTCAGACTCCCCGCTTTATCTGAGGAGCGAGAGCATCTAAGGAAGTGTGTTTCTTGAAAGACCGTCAAGGTGACTGAGATAGCCCAGTGCCCGCCTGGTGACAGCAACAGCTTTGTGTCAGGAGACAGACAACGGTCCCTTGTGGGCAACAGAATCTCTTGTATGAGTTCATTTTCTCTGTTTTATGGACGTTAAACAAAGGAAACCTTTTAGGATAGGCACCATAGCTGCTGAGCACTAAGCATTCACGGACACTTTGGCTAAATCTTAACTGCCCTCAGCCCGCAGCTGCCCGAGCCACAGCTCTGTGCGGGCATTTATCGGCTTCTGAGTGGAGGTGCTCCAGCATGGTTTAAATAAACTCTATGGCTTTTGACACTTTGAAAAAGTTCTAATTTGTCACATTTCTGTGCCACTGTGTGCACATTTCATTTTTTTTTAGAGAGAGAGATTCTTTTGAAAAAGTGCTCTACGTTATTTATCAGGCCATGCTACTTATCTCCTTAATACAAATGTCTTAATATCCATCCTCCAGGTAATGAAGGCTGTAAAAGTGGGAATGAAAGAATATGAGATGGAAAGGTAAGCTTCTGTGTTTCTCTGGGTAAAGACTAAAACGTAAAAGCAATAATTTATGTTCCCCGAGCTAGTAGCAGATGGGGCACCTCAGTGATGTGCACAGATTGAGTGGGGGTTATGAGCAGGGCTTCGGCACCGTGGGCAAAGAGGATTTTTCCTGCGACTCTGTCCACCTCGCTGGCTCTTGGCAGAGTGTTTGATGGTAATGGTCTTTGATTACTTTTCAGGCTGGTTTAGTGCCCCATTATTCCCCTCTTTGGACTCTGTGCAATTTGCAGGAAACTTTAGGGAAGAGCTGCTATTGTGACTCTGAAAGGCGCTAGTAAAACAGCTTGCCATTTTTATGTGTAAACACTGCCCTTATGTCTGCTGTGCTTGGACAATTGGGTCTTGGGATGGTTAAGCGGCTCATGGAGTGTTCTGGAGAGCTCCATTGGCCTTGGGCTCCAGTTAGCCCTGCAGTGAGCCAGGGCTACCGGGTGCTTCCTGGAGCTGCCCAGCCGTGACGAGTGTGCCCTGGCCAGCCCCTCATCCCTACTCCGGGACCTGGGGGTCAGCATGCTGCTGCCCATGGTGTGAGGAAGCCCCAGTGGTTCCTCTCCCACCCATGTCCTGGGTCACTGCCGCTGACCACACCACCTAGAGGCCTCCCTGGGAGAGGACACAGAATAGGCTGCCGTCTTTCCCCAGTGACACAAAAAGAAATCCACATTTAGTCTCTGCCCCCAAGTTCCTGACACAGAGCTTCTAAAACCCTCAGAATTTCCCAAGTGACAGAAGTGAGAGTCTGTTGTTATTCACAGTAAGCCCCTTTCAGCCACACCTGAGTTTATGCTAATGCAGTGCCTCCTGGGGAAGGGAGAGGGGCAGATGGGGCTGGTTGCCTGGAGGGTTGTAAGTTTCAGCCCCCACCCCCAGCCCCCAGGGAGAGGAGATGGGCTGTGCTCTGACTCATGATTCAGTCAATTGTGCCTAGAAATGGAACCTCTCTAAAAACCTTACACTGCATGGTTTGGAGGGCTTCGGGTTGGTGAGCACGTCGAAGTGCTGGCGGGGGGGTGGGGTTAGGGGGGCACGCCTGGAGAGGGAGTCCAAGCTCTGTGCCCTTCCCGCATACCTTGTCCTGTGCATCTTTTCCATCTGGCTCATCCCGAGTTGTTATCTTGTATAATAAAATGGTTATAGTAAACGCTTCCCTGAGTTCTGCGAGCCATCCTAGCAAATTATCAAACCCAAAGAGGGGTCATGGGCACCCCCAGTTTATAGCCAATTAGTCAGAAGGGAGGCCCGGACTTGTGATTGGTGTCTGAAGTGAGGACAGTCTTGTGAGATTGAGCCCTTAACCTATAGGGTCTGTGGTAACTACAGCAATTAGTGCTAGAATTAAATTGTAGGACACCCAATTGTTCCACGGAGAATCAGACTTGGTGGTCTAGAAAACCCACCAAGTGTCAGAAGTGTGAGTACAGAAAAAAGAGTTTTTACCTTTTACTTTCACCTACCCCTCCCCCGCCCTGCCCCCATCCTGGGCCATCCTTTCCTATCAGGCCTGAAGAGCTTTGTGTTGCCTCCTCTTGCCCACCTTGTAGGGCCCAAGTCTCCCTGGGGCACCCCCAGGACCTGCTCTGCTTCCACATCCCCTCCCAGCCCTTCTGGCCTGTCCACTGTCAGTGTGGGCCGAGTGTGAGGAACAGATGGAGTCAGCATGGGCATTTACGTTCACCATGACGTGGCTTGGAGATAGATGTGTTTTCAAAGTCTAACCCTGAAAGGGGCCTGAACTGGGAGCCTCTGTATTTCTCTCCTGTCACCCTGGGTGGTAAGAGGTTAACACGGCATTGCCTGGTGTTCCAAGAGGGACACATGCTTCATACAAGGAACCAAGAGGATGGTGAAGGGCATGTGGAGTCGGCTCAGCCTTTGCCTCCATGCAGTCTCTGATGTAGCGGTATTAAGGATTCCCAGAGCCCCTGCCCCGACAAGGATCTGGGACAGGACGAGTTCTGTGGGGCTGCCAGGGATGTGGGTGAGGCAGTGGCCCCTGAGAGCGACACTGCCCCAGAAATCTGTTCTCACCTGAACTGGCCCATAGTGACCCACAGCTGATGCCTCAAGTAAAAATAACCCAGAAATTGGAGCAGGACTAGCTTGCCCCAGCGTGGAACCCTGCCGTCCGCTGCATCCTGGCAGCCTTGTGCCCTATGCTGCGGGGAGCCCAGCTCTGAAGGTGACTCCTAAGAGGCGCCTGAGCTGTCCCCCCAGCCGTGTCCCAGAGCCTGACCGTGTTACAGTTGGACAGGCCTGTGTGTGAGCTCTGGGTCAGGGGCCAGGACCCTCAGAACACTTCCCCCAGCTCCTTACCCCTCACCCACCCAAGGTAATGGCAGTCTTTTTTTTTTTTTTCTTTTAATGGGAAATTTCAAATACTCCCTCCCCCGCAAAATAGCGTAATGAACCTCAAAGACCCGATCAAGGTTTCTGTTTAGTTTTGTGTCATTGTAGTATTTAAGACCAAATACTATCGCAGCCATCGTGTCATCTCACCTGTAAGTACATCAGTAGGTGGTGTCTCAGTTGATGAGGATATTTTTTTCCTTTATGTAACCACCATGTCATTATCACATCTAACCAAATTAGCAGTAATTCTTTCTTTAATGTTATCAATATCTAGTCCATATTTGTCTATAACTATCTTTTTAGAGTTGGTCTGTTCAAGTTGGGATCCAAAGTCTATGTGTTGCATTTGGCTGTTGTTTAGGAGGGTCTCATTGAGCTGAGTTCTGAGGAGATCTTAGTTTTGTCTTCGGACCCATCAGCCTCCTCCCCTCCCCCATCCTTGGGTTCTCTGCAGTGCTGCCGCCCCTGTGGGTCAGGGGAGGCTCTCAGAGAAATAAGCATGAAGGTCATGGCCAGGAGCAGCTGCCCTGAGGGTGCTGAGCAGTATTAATTCAGCTCCACGTGCCAGGTGTGTGCACTGATGCACACCTACTGTGCGCTGTGCCCAGCCTGTGGCTGGTCATAGGAGATACAGAGGGGGAGCAGTGTCTGCCCTTGGAGCTGTCTAATCTCTGGGTCCCTGAGAGCTGAGGGCAGGGGGTTCCTGGGGTAGAGGGTGGGGACTGCTCTGGGGTAAAGCTGAAGCAGAGACAATGAGAATGAGTCAGACTTTTTCTGAAGGACAGGGTGGTAGGGTGACCTTTGGGGATAGAGGGTGTCACCGCCTGAAGACGGTGGGAAATGGTCGTCCTAGGACATTGTCACATCTTGGGGTGTCCCTGGACATATTTGAAGAGGGCACTCTCAATTGCCAGTGCCAGCCAAAGCCCCTGGGGGCATCTGCAGTCATGAGTTGGGGCAGCTTCGCTCTGCCTCACGCTCCTTCCCCACAGACATGATTCTCTACCACTGCTGGGTGGCTCAGGGACACAGTTTCATGGTCTGTGTCCTTGGGAGCCTGGATGCTTCTTCTTGGAAGCCCCACCTTGTCTCGTTTATCTGCAGTGTCTGCTCCATAGTTGATGTCAAGAAATACAGCGGGTGGGTTGGATGGATGGATGGATGGATGGATGGATGGATGGATGGATGGATGGATGGGAGAGAGAAGAAAATGTCCTGAGCTATTTTTCTGCTCTCATCTTTGCCCCTGTGAGCCTTAGCCTTCTTTTCTTAACTTTTCTTAAGTGGGGAATATAAAACCTCCATGTAAGCAAGTGTCTGTTTAGTGCAGGCTGGGCCGTCCCCAGGAAGGTCCAGGACAGCCAGATTCCCAGACGGGCCACTGACCCCTGGGTTAGAAGGGCATGCCTAGAACATGCCGTGGCCAGCCCTGGCCCCCCAGAGGGACACAGGACAAGAAGGGTAGGGGCTCCTGCGCATCGGGACTAGGGGGAGGGCAGGTGTGGGAAGGGGCAGGAGATGAGGCTGATTTTCTAGAAGGAGGACACGCCATCACCGAGATGGGGGTGCTCAGACTCAGACTCAAGAGATACTGCCCAGGAGACCCAGTTCTAAGTCATATGCTTTTTTTTATTGTTGTTTTATTATCAAAAGTTTGTTATAAAATGTCGAAGGTATGTTTCAAAAAAAAAATGAGCTGATGGCATTTACTAAGACACCTCCTCCTTTGTGCCGTGTCTATGAGTAGGGTTTCAGAGGAAATGAAAATCACTTTCTGCAATTGAGGTGTAGTAAATTGTGTTAAACCAATAAGACATTAATGTTTGGGTAAATCGGGCACTAACAGCATCTGACTGCAGGCCCAATCAGGCGGGCCATTTTACTGCCTCATATTATTTAATGTTAGTGGTGTAACCAGCTTGTAGCCGGCTGGCATGGGGCTGGCAGCTGAATCAATTACCTGCAAACACTAATTTAGAGCATGCTCAATTGGCTGTGTAAGCAGGTCCCGGTTCACATTTGCCACAAAGAGATTAATAACTTGATGTTTTTGACAGCCTGGGACCTTAATTGAAATTACACTCTCTTTTTCTCCAAGCTGTGAATGGGACATTTTGGACCCTTCCATGACAGCTTCTGTGGGAATTGTGCGAGTCATGTGAAAGGCAGAGGGACTGCGAGGTGTGCTAGGGGACACGTTGCGTTGTCTTCCTCCCCGGGCTGGGATCCTTCTTGGCAAACACGCCGACCCCATCTGGAGACCTTTGACAACGCCTGGGTTTTTCGCTGCTCTTCTGCCACAGGCAACAGCCCGAAATAACAGCCACCTGCTTTCTTTTCGTCTTTTGTTAATGAAGAACATGCCCAGCTGTGCTTCTCTGGGCTGAAAGTCTCCTTGCTTTTTCCTGCCCCTCAGCCAGATGGAGCACGTCACAATTCCGTGTTCATTATGCCCCTGGGTCCAGATTGGGAGTGGGGGACGGGGACCTAACTGAGGGGTTTCTTCCCCCTACCTGTGCGCGGGTTAGAGACTGGCCACACACCATACGCCACCCACATATACCACACTGAGCATTCACACAAAACACACAACGCACCTGCCACAC